CAGCCTTGGAATTTGAAGCATAGGCTTTTTTTTTTAACATTTCTAGCAATGATCTGTGGATTCTAACTGCACAGTTTTATTGTATTATTTCTTGCATGAGAGATAGTGCCACTTAGTGGACAGAAAGTTTGCCTCAGAGCCAGGAGCACTAACTGCCTTTGACAAACATTGGCTATCTGATCCAAGGTAAGTAACTTGACCTTTTTTCCAAAACCATGAGTTGTGAAGTTGCCATTGTCTGTATTGGTATTGGGAGTTTTTTTACCTGGGTCTTCTCTGTATCAATGAAACTCGTCCCTAGCCCTCTTTCTTGAGTTATGGAATTATTATCAATTATTATTATTTATCAGTTTAGTTTTAGAGATCTATGATGTTCATGTTATCTCTGTCCACCTAGTTTCCAACATCAATCACTTTGACTTATATTGAGTTCATCACTTCTTTAAGTGTTGTTCCCATTTCCTTCGGTTCTGCCAAATTTTCCAATATTTTACTATTTTTGTGTTTAAAGTGTGTTATTTTCTCTGATAGCTTTTACTTCTTTGAAAAGAATCTCCATCATGTATTTTTCCTACTTTACTCATTTTGATTTTTTTAAATTCTGAATTGGGAATGCCAATATCTGATTTAAATTTATTCCTAATTTCATTTCTGGTCTTTATTTAACCTTTTAACCTTCATAGGCTTTCTTACAGTCATTCCACAATCTGCGGGGAATACAATGGCTTTTGTACATCATTAGTGAGAATATTAGGTCACTTTCTTTCATATTATTTATACTACTGACTTAAACTGCCTTGGTTTGTTCTTGATGTTTTCTCATTCTGATTTCTCCATGTGTATTTCCTGTCTTCTGGTTTATCTGATTATATGCTCAGGTTTTATGCAGATTTTCTCTTGCTCCTTTGTTTTCTCTCCTCTTGCATTCCCATCACTCTCTTTTTATCTTCTTCTCTCTACTGATACCCAAGTCTCTGAGGCTCAGCTATTAAATGCCATTAACTTCTTTGTGTTGGGGAATATGGGGGTCGCTGTGCTCCAGTCACTGCTTGGAATAACGAACTGGGAGAGAGTTCTGACACTGGCTAGCTTTAGCTTCCTCCCATTAGGTACATGGTGTCATTCTCCCATCAGTCTTGCCTTCTGAGTGCTGGTGAAGCCATGCATGGTCTTATTCCAAGCCTTTTCCTCCACTCCCCTTCCTCCTTCACTTCAAATGGCTGGGCAGAGTCTCTCTCCTTTTCAAGGGGAGGATAGTACTGGATGTTCAGGCAGTATCAGTGGAACATCTAGGCAGAAGTCTGCAAGTTTGCTAGCACTCATTGGATCATTGCCATGGACACATGGAGTTGTGGGTACAGGCACTGAGGGAGAGCTCTACAGTGAATGTATAAGTTTCCCCATTTTAATTCATAAGGTTTTTATCTTTTGTTTGTATGTGTGTGTGGAGAGAGGCAGGAGTATTGTTCCTGACTGAATCAGCTCCCTTTCCTCTTTATGTGATGCATAATCCCTTTCTTTTGCTGTTTAATAGTTGAAGAGGTTTGCATAAAGCAATAGATCTCTGGACCGTGCCGGTTGTCACACTTGCCCCATTTTCCTTTGATAGTTTTTACAATTTAATGTGAGTCACAATATTGAGATCAGCAAAAGTACTTTTAATTCAAACAATAAAATATAATTCTAGGGAAACTTGTCTTCTCATGTACTTATACACACACATATATGTGTGTATGTATCTCTATGATCTCTATCTCTGTGTATGGAAGGATTCTTCTGTCATTTTGTTATCAGTTTTTGGGTCTACAGAGTTCTAGGTCTCATAATATGTGTGTGTGTGTGTGTGTCCCTGTGTGTGTGTGTCCCTGTGTGTGTAGTTGTTGTTGTTCAGTCATTTTTAGTCATGTCTGACCCTTCATGACCCCATTTGGAACTTTCTTGGCAAAAATACTAGAATTGATTGCCATTTCTTTCTCCAGCCCATTTGACAGATGAGGAAACTGGGGCAAACAGAGTTAAGTGACATGCCCAGAGTCATATAGCTAATAAGTGTCTGAGACCTGAGTTCAATTCAAGTCCTCCTAACTCCAGGACCAGCAAGCACTCTATCCGTTGTGCCACCATTGTGCCATCTAGTTCCCTTTCTCCGCCCCCCACTCCCCTCTATACATACATACATATATATGCATATATATACATATGAATATATATGCATATATATACATATGTATATACATTTGTGTGTGTATTATGTGTGTATATAGATAGATATGTATATGTGTATATATATATATATATATATATATATATCTGTGTATGGGTATGTATATCAACGAGTCAGGAAGACTCATATTCTTGAGTTCAACTTGGGTCTCAAGACACTTATTAGCTGTATGTGTCTGGGCAAGTCACTTAATCCTGTTTGCCCCAGTTTCCTCATCTGTCAAATGGGCTGGAGAAAGAAAGGTTAAACAACTCTACTATCTTTGCTAAGAGAACCCCAAAAGGAGTGAATAAAGAGTTGGGTGTGACTAAAAATGCCTAAACAATGACAATATATACACATAAACGAATCTATACATACAAATATTCCCCCTTCTTTGTACACTGGCTAACTTTTTTGGACTTGTTTTTCTTTTCCCTTCCAATGATGTTCTTTAGAGCAGATCCAATTTATGTCTTTTCTGGCTCAGAATTCTAAACATCTCTCGTCTGCAGAGAGTGTGAACTGATGAATTGTTGTCCTAATGTGGTGCCAAGTGGGCAGCTGGTCATGGAGGAGGGAAAAGTCCTTTTTTGTGAAATTATTTTGGGTTTGAAGCATTTTTTACAGTTTATTTGGTTTTCCCTGTCTTCTTTCCAAGTGTTTTTTTTTAAAAGGTACTCTTGCCAGTGTGAGTTACTAATTGAGTTCCTACTGTATAATGCTATCTTAATCATATTTTGGAGGTAGATTCAAGGAAGAAATGTTGTGGATGTGACCACTATGGTAAGGATAGCCACTGTTTTCCTCTAAGGATTCCATATGCTTGGGTCCTGCTTAATTCATTGCAACAAAGACTCAATGGTTCCTACTCTGCACTCAGCACTTTATAGTGAGAGGTATACAAGCTTTAACAGACATCCTTCTTAATTTTTTATTTAATTTTTAGGCAATTGGGGTTAAGTGACTTGTCCAGGGTCACACAGCTAGTAAGTGTCAAGTGTTTGGTCTGAGGCCGGGTTTGAACTCAGGCCCTCCTGACTTCAGGGCCGGTGCTCTATCCACTGTGCCACCTAGCTGCCCCCTAAACATCCTTCTTGATGTCAGGGAGCTTCTGATATCTTTGTTTAGATGAGATCCACAATCATGAAACCAAGAACTGGTCACAAGAGAATGCTATTAAATTCTAGATGAATAGTGTAAGTAAGTGTTAAGATGTTTGTCACCAAATAGAATGGTCATTATTTCTCTTTTAATATGTATTTTCTGATGTATCTATTCTAAATAAGGAGAGAAGAAAGTTTAATTTTACATTTTTGAGGACCGGGAGATCCTCATGGGTTGTGATGATACTAAATTTAATTCTTCCTTAGTCAAGTAGCTAAACTGAGTGTATGTTCAGATTACAGAACAAAAGCATTGAATCAAGAATGACCTTAGGGGTGTTATTATTACTGTTGTTGTTGTTGTTATTGTTCAGGCATTTCAGTCTTCATGACCCCATATGGGGTTTTCTTAGCAAAGATACTGGAGTAATTTGCCATTTGTTTCTCCGGCTCATTTTTACAGATGAGTAAACTGAGGCAAACAAGATTAAATGACCTGCCCAGGGTCACACAGCTAGTGTCTGAGGCCAGATTTGAACAGAAGATGAATCTTTCTGGTACTCTATCCACTGTGCCACCTAGCTGCCCATAGCTGACCTTAGAGGCTAGCAGATCAAAATCTTTTATTTTGGATATGAAGGAACTGAATCATAAAGAGGTAAAGGTCCCAATTAGCAAGTATCTGAGGCAAAATTTGGACCCCGTGCTGTGGGTTCCTGTCATCATATCTAGTGTTCTATAAAGAAACTGGGTGGTTTAACCCCACTCTGTCTCTCATTTTCTTTTTGAGAGGTTACATTTACTTCAAAGAAGTAACACTGATGGAGTGGAGACCATGGCTTCATCTCCAGGAATGTTGTTATCAACCAAAGGGTGAGGGGTTTGACTCTAATAGAAGTGTGTGTATCTTTATCCTCCAAGCCCTCTATGACCACTCTCCCTTTCTCTGTTGCACAAGCTTCTATCATTCCCCCGTCTGCACTATGGGTCATTCCTTCATGTAAGTTATAATCACTACAGACAGGGTACCCACAGCAGCAATCGTCAAGGTGCCTTTGGGAAAATTCTTGGCCCTTATCCTTGCTATGGCATCCTGCCCTTCTGTCTTCCAAATTTCTTTTTGGTTGTAGTAGGTACTCCAAGGAGTACAACCTCTGACTCTTTGGCAGTGACTGATAAATAAGAGATCTGCCTCTCCCCTTTCCACTCTGGGCAGAATGATTCTCACAGGATAAGCAAACTTGAAGTTGTTGCAGGCCTCATGGATTTGATTTCATTTTCTTTCCCTACCCCCATTTTTCATCTTTCAACTTCTTTATTTCTGTCATAGGCAATTCCATTCTTCCAGTAACTCGACTTGTCAATCTTTGACTCTACCCTCTCTCTCACTGCATATATCTAATCACTTGCCACATCTCATTGTTTCTGTCTTTGTAGCATCTCTGTTATCCTTTCTCTTCTCTTCACTCACATAGCCACTACTCTAGTTCAGACCTACATCATCTTTTGTCTGGGCTATAGCAATAGCTTTCCAGTTGGTCTCCCTGCTTTAAATTGTTATGGTAGAATAAAGATGTAACTGAGTAGTTATATCCAGATAGTGGTTCACTTAGCAATGTATTCAGTTGCAGAAACAAACCAGGACCAACGCTCTTGGTAGACAAGGAAACTGAACCTTGGTTTGGAGAGAGGAAAAAGCAGGAAAGACAGCATTAAAGAGATTGAGACACCTGGTTTCTTATTGATGGAGGGGACTGGGAGACACTCAGGTAAGAGGAAGAGGGAAAGTTTTGTGACCTTTGGGACAGGGAGTGATCTTGTGACTTATCCCAAATCAGATGACTTACAAGTAGCTGAAACTTAACTTCCCAAAATGATGGGTACAGATGAAATAGAGTCACTAATGTTATTTTTAATATAACACAGTCTCTACTCATTCTAATTCCTTTTCCACATAATTGCCAAAGTGGTTTTCTTAAAGTCTGATTGTCACTCCTTGATTTAATTAACTCCAGTAGTTCCCAAGTAGTTTTAGGATCAAATATTATTTCATCTTTATATGTTCACTATGTGGCATAATTTTGTATTGCACAAAATTTTAGTAGAATAGTGTATGTGTATAACTTACAAATAAATAAATTTATACATAGTCAGGGTACAATCTCAAAGTTATTTTACTCAATAATTTGTGGTAAAAAAAAAATGGGAATTGTTCTCCTAGTCAATATTGTCAGATCTGTTTCTTTACTGTTCTCGTACGTGGTTAGTAATCACCATGACTCCAACCTTTAAGCACATGCAGCTTGATGGCACAGTGGATAGAGCCCTGGACTTGGTGTCAGGAAGACTTGCATTCAGATCCTGTCTTTGACACTTAGCTGCTCTTTGACCTTGAGCAAATCACTTAGCTTTGCTCTGCCTCATTTTCCTCATTTGTAAATGGATAATATTACTATGTCATTCGCAGAGTTGTGAGGAGCAAAGGAGCTAATACACATAAACGGCTTTGCAAACTTTAAAACGTAATACAAATGCCATATATTGATGATGACTATTATGTTACTATGCCCAGAAAGATCATAGAAGACATTTTCCTAAGTATCTGCAAAAGATTATTGGTTTATTATTTTCCACATATCAAAAGTCTTTAAAACCAAGGAATCCCTCTGCCAACACAATGGCGGGGGGGACTGGGAAAGATGGGGGAGGAAGATGGTAACTGAAAAGGTATGGCTAAAAATAGTGTGATAAACATGAATGTAAAGTAATATTATTATGTTGTAAGAAATGCTGCATACCAAGACTATAGAGAAGCTTGGGAAGATATGTGTGAATTGATGCAAAGCAAAGTAAGCACAATCATGAAAACAATATGTCCAATGTTATAGTGATTCAATGAGAAGAAAAGCAACACCTTCTACCCAAACAATGAATGTTGTATAATGAAAATAATGATGCATAGGGGCAGCTAGGTGGTGCAGTGGATAGAGCACCAGTCCTGAAGTCAGGAGGACCCGAGTTCAAATCCGGCCTCAGACCAAACACTTGACACTTGCTAGCTGTGTGACTCTGGGCAAGTCACTTAACCCCAATTGCCTAAAAAAAAAATTTAAAAAAAGAAGATAATGATGCATGCATTAGAAGGAGAGGGAAGAAAATACCCCTTATTCTTCTCTCGTAGGTGGGGGGGCAGGTATGAGTTTGAGGTTTGGCATTTATTGTTAGACTTGCTTGATGTGTTGATGAATTTTGCTGAACTATTTTTTTCTCCCTCTCTTCTTTTGTTTTTCTTTGTACAGGGAAATGAAGGTGATGTAAAAATAAAACATAACAATACATTAAAAATAGGAATTCTTTTTTCTTTTGAATATTAACACCAGTTTACAGTCTTTGACCTTCAGTAGAAAATTTGAAAAGATAATTACCCATTCACAAACGTCAGCAACTTGCAAGTAATAGAGCGATGGCCTAAGAGTTAGGAAGAACTGATTTCAAAGCCCACCTCTGACACATGTTGGCTGTATGATCCTGGCCATGTCATTTCCCTTAGTGCTCCAGAAACTTATTAAGAAAATTAAGGTGGTGCAAAGGTGCTGGTTTCCATTGGTAGAGGAAGCTCCACATCATGGGCACCCTGAATTAAAGAAACTATGGGGGAAAAAGATTCACAAACTTCATTTATTTTCATTGTATCGTTGCTTAGTCATTTTTCAGTTGTGTGATTCTTTGTGACCCCATTTGAGATTTTCTTTGCAAAGATACTGGAGTGGTTTGCCATTTTCTTTTCCAGTTCATTTTACAGATGAGGAAACTGAGGCATACAGGGTTAAGTGATTTGCCCAGGGTCACACAGCTGTGTGTGAGGCCAGATTTGAACTCTGGAAGATGAGTCTACTTGACTGCAGGCCCAGCACTCTATCCTCTGCACCACCTAACTGGTGGTGCATTTTCATATTTATATACTAAACCTTTCTATTTAGTCCTCAGAATTCAAGTGCATCATAAATTTTATTTCTTCATTACATCTAGATTTAGAGCAGATACTATCTCTACCTTGGAACACTAGAACCAAAATAAAACATTGTGAGCTAAATCAATGTGTATAACTAGAAATTGGATATTGTGCTCTCTCCTGTAGATATGTCATCTTTTTTTTGCTGCAGGGCCTTTTGAAAATCATCCTAAATATCTCACCATGAGCAAAACAAATCAGCAAGTGTTAAGGATGTTTACATTGAGCAGTGGAATGATTAAATCTACTTATCTACTGAAGCATTCATATATATATATATATACACACACACACACACACACACACACACATATACGTACGTATGCCTAGCAACAATGACAATAAAACGATAAAATAACTGTGTATGGAAAAGTGCTGTGAATAATGAATGCTTCCTGCTGGTCCTCAATTTTATTGTAAATGACTAGAAGAGTATTTGTAACCTGTTTTATTTTTATGGTATTTAAAGATTTATTTATCTGTAATAAAGCTCTTTGGTATGTTAATGTTGGGTAAAGGTATATTTTGAGCCAAATGCCCATCCAGGGCAATCTTTAGCAAAACTGGTTGAGGATTTTGCTAAAGTGAGTAGAAAAAAATGTTTCTGAATATATAAGACATAAGTAAATTTAGAAAAACCCAAGCAAAGCAAAGTATTTAAGATGAACCTTTAGGAAAATGATTTAAGGCAGTTAATTTCACCCATAAATACTCCTGGAAAAACTCCTTTGTCATTTCTTTTCTACTATGTTATTTAAAACAGAAGTACTGTAACAATAATTTCAAGCCAGGAAAATGGCATTTTTTGTTGGAGTCTGTTTTTAAGAGTCATTTATGCTTTGACAAAGTTGTAAGGAATAAGTGGGCAGATATAGCAGCTGCAAGTATTCCACGGATAGTTTGATCTTAAGAGTGCTGAAAGGGAGCTTTAACTAGTGAAAGGTTCCAAGAAGTGATGATAAAATCTGACCAGAATGATTGTACCAGCATGTAAAGCTTTGACATCACTGAGACATTGTAGTGGTAAATACATATTTTAGTTGCTATTTCTTGAGATGGAAGTTTTAAAAAAGAGATATGTTGATTACGAGGTAAAGTGGAATATTTTGTTTGGCCTTATGTCATTGAAAAGCCAGTTAATTTTTACATTATTACTAAGACTTTAGATGTAATGTATTATTTTCTTGATGCCATGAAGTTGCTTCCAAACAACTTAGGAAAAGATGAATTCTAATTTATGTCAATATGTTAAAATGAATAATTTGAAATTTTATGGTCAGCTTCCTGTCTCCGTAGAGTATTCAGGGTGTCCCAAAAGTCTCAGTACAGCTCAAGCTTTAGCTTGAATAGCTTAGAACTGCATTGAGACTTTTGGGGCAGCCTATATTTTATCAAAGCAATTGTGGATTGATGGCTGTTACTTCTATAATATGGCTGTTGCTTTGTTATTGAAATTCCGTAAGAAATGTTATTTGCTTATTGAGATAGATTTTCCCTGTTATGGTTTCAAAGTGTATACATTATACTTCCATGATGCAGCTATACAACTAAGAGAATTTCATTCCAGTGATTATAACATTCCGGTGACAGAAGACAAAATAATAAGTTTCCAGTTCTAGGAAACACATTTTTGTTGGAGAGGATTCTGATTTTAGTATTCAAGTGATTTTTGGGAAGATAATGAACATACTGAAGCCAATATTCAAGGTCTTCCATTTGATGAAGTCCACATTGGGACTTCTTAATAGGAGCATCCTACAATTCCTGAGAAACATTCAAGGTTAAGCTTGCTTCTCCATTTCAGATGTTGACAGAAATAAGTAATTGAAAACATCATTGTGGCAATTTCATTCCATTGTTTTCTGCCCACTTACTTCTCGAGTCTCATTTCACATGCTTCATTATTCACTTTATAACTGGATCTCTCACTAAGTTCTTGCCATTGTACTTTCGACCTCATGTGCAAGCAACATTTCTTCCTTGTCATTCCCTTATATTCTCTCAAGTCCCCTCTCTCTCTCCCCTCTCCCTCCTTCCTTCCTTCCTTCCTTCCTTCCTTCCTTCCTTCCTTCCTTCCTTCCTTCCTTCCTTCCTTCCTCTCTCCCTTCTTTGCTTCCTTCCTTCTTTCCTTCCTCCCTTCCTTCCTCCCTTCTCTCCTTTTTCCTTCCCTCCCTCCCTTCTTTTCTGCATTTCTTCCTTCCTTCTTTCCTTCCTTCCCTTCCTCATTTATTGCAGACTCATTGTGTGCTAGGCTCTGGGCATACAAAGAGAGGGGAGAAGGGAGTCCTTTATGTATAGTAACTCATTTGATCTTCCCCAAAATGTGCAAGGTGGGTGCTCTTATTATGCCCATTTTACAGTTAAGGAAACTGAGACTTGCCCAGCATTGCTAACGTCTGAAGCTAGATATGAACTCAGGCCTTCCTGACACCAGGCACAGCCTTCTATACACTGGGCCACTTTCTTCCATGCCTCAGCTTATATTTCATTGGGTGGGAAGGGGGGAAGGAAGCAGTGCATAGATAAATAACTAGAAAATAATTAAAAATAAATGCAAAATGATGCCTTTAGGGATAAATAAAAGTTGCTTGACCTCTTTGTGCCTCAATCTCCTCATCTGTAAAATGGGAATAATAAGAACACCTCCCTTAAAGAAGCTTCTTTTTCTCTTCCTCCTCTTCCTCCTCCTAGTACAGTTTGAACTATTAGGCAGTTTTATGGTCATCAAGCCTAAATAAACCTCTGCATTTTTCACCC